TTGTATACACACACAACTCCATTCTTTTAAGGGAAAACACATTAATGTTATCCTTGATTTCTCTCTTTCTTACATTCCTTACATTCAGTATGTCTAGGAATTTTGCAGATTGTATCTCAAATCCATCTACATATGTGCCTCAATGCAGAGATTTTTGTCAGTTTTATTTATTAATGTATCACAGAAACTAGAATAGTGCCTGACATAGTGTGCAGTCAGTTAATATTTATGGAATAAGTGAGTTAAATGAACAAATCCATCAATCAATGTCATCTTATGAGACACATTTAGAAGATTGATTTCATATTAACAGAGCCAAAAATTACTCAGGGGAGTTGTTTTTGTGTGTGTGTTTTGCTTTTTGTTTTTAGTTTTAATTATATATTAACTTGGGTGTGTTTGACTTTTAAAAATTAGCACTTTATTTCTATAAATGTTATTGCTTATTCATAACCAATTAAAATTAATTTTGAAATTTTGCCATCAATGGTTTCTCCAAAATGTCCATGAATTTGAAAGAGTATATTAGGGATGAAAATACAATTCTCAAGAAATAATTTTTCTAATAAGCCATATATCCTATAATTGTAACATAACCAAGAAAGCTTAATATTAGCTTATTCTATCCTTTCATTAAGAAGCTTGTAAGAAATTTTAATAACTGGATCTACAGAAATTATGTGAAGAATAATAAGGAAAGATATTGTACTTTACTTTTTTCTTTAATAGACATCTTACTAAAGACAAAGAATATAAGGAAATAAATGGACTTACTTTTTCCTGAATTATACATATTCATTGCTACATGGCCTGAATTTATTTTATAACTTCCAGTGTTTTCTTTTTGTGCTAGAAAAATTAGCATTTTGTACTAGAGTCTCAGTAAAGTATCAGGTGGAAATTTCAGGTATTTCTAGCATGTATGGGGCCCTATCTACCCCTGCCATTGCCTGTCAGTGGGAATATTTATTTCTTATTGATTTCTGTAGTGCTGCTTTTCTATTGCCAGTGAAAGATACCCTGCCTTTCGTGCTCTCCCAAACCCACCCCTTTGGTTTCTACATCTGGGTGATCTGAGAAGCCTTTTTTTTTCCCTTCCTAAACCCTTAATGTTAGGCCTTAAGTCATAACTACAACTCTAGTTTAAAAAATAGGACTTGTGGCTTTCAGGTTGAGGTTTCTGTTTTCTGTTCTGATTCTAGATGTTTTATGCTGCTCCTAAACTCTGACACCTGAACATGCAAATACACTCCTATAGCTAAACTGACAGAATCATTAAAGTGTGGAAAGGATTTGAGAACAATGAGGAATTCTAAAGTTTAAATGTTTTTAGCAATCTTTATCTATATCCAAAGAAAGATATATAGTGTATATGTAGCAAAATAGTAAATATTGTAATCAAATAATACTAAGAGCCAAGCTGGACTCCTGAGATATCAGAGGAGATGGGTTCTAAGGTCATACAAATTGGGAAACGACTAATTTGAAAAGACTTATAGCAAAGAAAACTATTTAGTTTAACCAGGCATTTCCCAAATTTATTTGAAGATAGAACCTTTTTTTATATATAAGGAAACTTTTTCACATGCTTTGGAAATACTGGTGGGAAGAAAGCAGACATGTTAATTGTTCTAGAACTGGCTCAGGCATTAATCAGCATTTTCATTCATTCAACAAACCTGTATGGAGTGACTGCTTTGTACCACACATTGTTTAAGATGCTAGTGATATATACAGGGAACAAACCAGACAAAAGTCTCCATCTTTCTAAGGGCTATATTATAGTCAAGGGAAAAAGAGAATAAACATACTTTGTGATTTAGTGCGATACTAAGTGCTCTAGACAAACATGGGGCAGGATTAGGAGGTCAGGAATAAAGAGTTGCAATTTTAAATAGAGTCATAACCCTTGAGCAAGTCACTGAACCTCTCTCTGTTCCTTTTCTATGAAATGAAGAAATTCAGTTAGATGATTTCTAAGGCCTGTCAGCACGATGAGTCTGCTTTAAAGACCAAGCATTATCATAGCAAGCTGTGGTACTGCTAGGTCACAAGCATCTCAGTGTGTGTTTATAGTCACCTTAGCAGGAACAGCTCGCTATTGAAACTCACAGAATTACTGTCCAAGAAAAGCTTCTATAAGTTTAAATCACTTGTAATACCCACAAAAGAATAAAACATTTATTTATTAAATAAATGTTAAAGAAAAACCTGGTGGTCTTATTTTTAATCAAGTGTGTTACCTCCATCTAATATTGAGTAGAAAGTATTTGACTTAAGGGTAAGTGACCCCTGCAAGTAAAGGTACCAATGGCTTTTAAGCAGAAGTTAGCACACCCATGTGAGAAATTTGCAGCAGTGTGCACATTACATTTCTGCCCTACATCCTTATGTAAATAGGAGATCTGTGACTTGATGTTGAAATGACCTTTCAGACAGTATTCCATTGCCACATGCCTGAGCTTGTATCTTGGAATAATTAGAAGCCTTGACTTACAAATCTCAATATACAGTGTTTATGTTAATTATAAATGTCTGAAAGTTTCCTGAAACTTTTTCTTCAGAGCTTTTTATCAAAGACAGACTGGAGTTTGGGAGGAGGGTTCTGGGATGTGGTCCTTAATCTTTGATTTTCAATCTTTCATTTTTGGAATGAAATTTAACATCTACTTTTCCAGTTACCCAGAACATGGTGGTATATTTTTATATTCTTCATCCTGAATAAGAAGCTGTTTGGAACCATAGTCTTTGATACTTTAAAAATATTTCATTCTTAAGGCATTTAGCTAAAAATTTCAATCTAAATATAAAGTTATTCCCACTTACCTATAGAAAAAGTTTAAAATACTATAATTAATTGAGAAGTTCCTTCACTAAAGGATATTCTTCCAAGGATGGCTTCTAAATCAGACTTCAGAATTTCTTTTCCCATGGTGGCTAGCCCATCCATTCTCTAGAAGTTGACCTAGGCCTACCAACAACAGTAATTTCATTTTCATCTCCCTTTCATATTCCATAAATTCAAAAGCCAGTTGATAAGAAAATGCTTTGTGACCATTCTGGAAGAAAGGACTGACTCCTATTTCACTGTGGAATAAGCTCCTATATGTCAGAGATATGAGTATTCGTAAGTTTTCTCACGTCTAGTCTCTGAAATATCTCATTTATTGCCCTTGATTAGACAAGCTCTCAAATCCCACCTTATCTGTGACCTTAACAGTTCCACAGTTCCCTGTGAGGTCCCCTTGGTTTAGTTCTGAAGTCTCCATCCCCCCCCCCACCCTACCTGCCCAAATTGTCATGCACAACCTGCTCTTTCCATTAAGTTAGTCTCCTATTTTACTCCCCCTGGGACCAAATTGTTATGCAGACTTACCAGCTATAAATATTAGTACTCATTTGTATATCCATTTTATTTGTAAGAGTATATTTAGATATTGATACAAATAAAATTTGAATCTAATTTGTACCATATTTAGGAAATTAGATACACTACATCTATAAACTATGTAATTTAAGCTTTTGAAATTTTGAAGATATAAAGATCACTTGATGACATCTTATTCAGATCTTTTCCAGCAAGTGCCTGAGATTAGGTCAGTCTGTACCATCTGCATTGCTACAGCTCTAAAAACCACTAATGTAGAAGGTCATACATACTTATACTTACTAGCACATTTATGAGTGTATGTGTATGTGTGTGCATGCCAGTTAACTCTGAGTCTTAATCTTCCAATCATAGAAAGCACAGATGCGGGGAGAAGAATGAGAATTATACAACACTTTCCCCTCCCAATTTTGAACTAAATTACTGACTATGTGTATTTGGGGGCTGGACAGCAGGATGTCATATTTTACATTCATGCCAACAAATCCTTTTTGTAATTGTCCTGTGGTGGCCCCTGCACACCCAAGGGAAGAAAGGTTTCAGGAGCTGGAAAGGGTGCAACAGTTGAAACACAGTGAGAATGTTCTAGTTAATTTGTTCACAGATGTTTATGAAGCTTCTACCATGTGCCAGGAATATGATCCTGGTTCAGGGGCTCAGTTATCTAGAGCAGTCCTATCCCTTCTCTCATCTAGTAGAGAAACCAGACTTTGAGCAGGAGCATGGAAAACATACCCTGTTTCACAGTGTTGCCTGGGCTCAGCCTCAGAGTGCCTTGCAAAATCATCTCAGTAGGCTGCTGGCCCTGTTCTATGAGCATAAGGATGAATGAGGAGTTCATTTTGCTATGAATATAATTATGGCATTCACCTTATGCTGCTAGATATTCTTCAAAAATATTACTCAAAGTAGCAAGATTTAAATTAAATATATATATATATATATATATATATATATATATATATATATAAGAGAGCAAAAGATTGGGACATGGGCTTTATCTTAGAAAGCATTTACATGTATTTTTAAAAACTGATTTTAGAAGGAGAGGAAAGAAGAGGGAGAAACATCAATGTGAGAGAAACATTGACTGCATCCCAACCGGAGATTGAACCTGCAACCTGGACATGTGGCCTGGCCAGTAATCGGACCATCGACCTTTCAATGCATGGGATGACACTCAACCAACTAAGCCGCACAGGCCACAGCTATCTTAGAGAGCATTTAAATATCTAGAAGCTATTCAGCAAGGGGTCATGTTAGCCAAACAGATCCTGTGTAGCTCAAAAGAGGACGAACTTTTTGGCCAATTCACTAGTAACTCTTTTCGTGTGAATTATAAATATTTGCTTATTTGCAATGAAGAGGGTTCCTCTCATAAACTAATTGCTAGGTAGAAGTGATTACTGGCACTTCAGGGTAAAAAGTTGGACACGAGAATATGGTGAGTTATAAATGTACTTGCCAGATTTCTTAGATGATTGGGTAATTTAAATGCAAAATAGGGCTCGAGTATAAAGTGAACGTTACTTGAAAGACAGCCATCAGATCATTTTATTGAAAATTTATAATTTGAGGCGTTTTTTCTTTTTTTTTTCCCCTCTCCTTTTAGCTTGTCAAAATTCCCAGAAATGATCCCATCAATGAAGTGCATACATTTAACTTCTATTTGTCAAATGTGGGTAAAGACAACCCTCAGGGCAGCTTTGACTGCATTCAGCAGAGATTCTCTAGGTAAGTAAATGAAAAAAAGAAAATCATTTTTCTCTGAGGGTTTTTTAAAAAAATAAACAATAAAATACATAGTAGCTACTTAAAACTATTTATTGAATTGAATAGCAAAGCTCATTTACAGTATTTGAGAAATATTGAGCACCTACTCTGTACTAGAAATTATATTTGTCACTGTGGGCAACAATCACAAAAATTTTAACATTCTTACTCTCGAAGGATTTTTAAAGTACTTTTTTTTTTTAACCTATAAAACATGGTTTATTTGCTTGTTTTATTAAAAACAAGTTTGGGGATTTTTAAAAAGTTTATGTTCACTGCATTTAAATAAGAAAGCCTTTTATAGTACACTCAAGACTAGTATTTAAGGATAAAGGAGGGGGAAAAATCCTCTATATGTTGCATATTCTTTTTCTTCTTCCCTATGCAAGCCTTATTTTAAAGTAGATTTTTAAAAACATGTATTCTGCAGCAGAATGAAAACAAGAAATTAACCCCAGCATAGCAGTCATTTCTGATTTTTTTTTAAAAGAAGACAAGAATACACACCACATCCCGGGTACCACGGAACTCTTATCTACTTAGATCTACTTAGATTCTCTACACAATAAGCTACTTGTTTCACTCTTCTTTGCTGTGGTTGTTTCTGACTAAAGAATGGGCCCCTTGAGTAGGGGGAGTTGTTCTGCCTGTGGATAAAGATAAGGCCTTAGGGCCTCCAAGCCTTCCAGGAGTCACTGATATTGGCCCAAAGTGCCCTGGGCCATCCATCCCTATCTTGTCTGAACTGCACTTGAAGCTGTGTTTATGCTTGCTGTGCATGAGAGAAAGATGAAGGGAAAGGTGTGTTTCAAGTGAGCACAGTAGGCAGAGATATAACATCATTGAAAGAATTTAAATTTCTCCTCTTATTTAAGGTGACTACCTCTTAATCAACCTTTCCTCCTGAGTATATGTTAATTTTGCTTTCTGAAAATTGCCCACCTCCAAACTTATACTTTTGGTATAAATTGCATGTTATAAATTTTATAGACCTTTCTGCACTATTCACTGGGATAGCTACTGAGCACATGTGGCTATTTACATCTCAATTGATAAAAGTGAAATAAAATTTAAAACTTTTACTTCTTCACTTAGACTAACCACACATTACAGGCTCAATAGCCAGGTGTCTGGTTGCTATCAGAGTGGACAGCAAAGATATTAATCATTTTCACCGTTGCATAAAGTTCTATGGGACAGTATTACAATCAATTATAGAATCACCGAGTATAAGGGTCCTTGGTAAATTGTTCAACCCTATCTTTTTACAGGTGACTTACCCACAGATATATAACTGCTTAGCTAGGGACTGGGCTTAATGAGAACTGAGTTCTCCTAATTTCAGTCCAGTGTTTATTGCATACCACACTGCATACTGATTTCTAATTGTGGTGCATTCACCTGGAATGCTTGTCTTTAGAGAATTATTATATTACTAGGGGCCCAGTGCACTAATTTGTGCACCTTAAAAGGAATGTGGGCTAAGATGCTGTGGTGGGCACAGGGGTGGGTCTCAGCCCATCCTCCATGCTCTCACCCAGCCTCTCCCACCGTGGCCTGATCCTGTCTGCTTGCAGCCCCGCTCCCACTGCCACCGCTCCCGTGTGCTAATGGCACTGGCCCCACTCATACCCCCTAATGGCTTGGAGTGCTGGGGTGCCATAGCAGGTGCAAGAAGTGGCTGCTGCCCCTGATAGCCCCTCAGGAGGAGAGGGAAGTGGAGAAGCCCTCAGGGGTAATTGGGGCTGGCAGACACCGCTTGCACCCCCTGATGGTGCCAAGCGATCAGGGCCAGTGCTGGGCACCAGCAGCAAGTATGAGCAGCGGCTCTGGCACTGGCTGCGGATATGAGAGGGGCCATCGCTAGCAGCAGGTGCTATAGGCAGCTGCCAGCCCTAATCACATCATGTACAGTTTTAAGGTCACTTAAAACTATACATGATGCAGCAAGAGAAAAGAAATAATTATTGGGGAAAAATTTGGGACAAATGCAATGCTGTATAAAAAGTGTGATCCAAGTATAAAAGCATGATTCAAAGAGCTTTATAAAGTGGTGTGGTATGGTATAAATTGAAATTTGCCTCTAAAAAAATCAAAAGTTCTCAAACTTTCAGTTCTCAACCTGGCAAGCAAAACTTTTTAATCTGTATCCACCTTTCTATTCGATTTAATTTTTATTTTTCCAATGGATCCTGTCTTTCATGCAATTGTGCAAGCTCCTCAAAAGCAAGGGCTTTCTTATACCCTTTTTCTAGTCTTACAATGCTGGTGAAACTCAAATTAAATACTTAATAAATGGATGGTCAAAAACTACATATTAACTATTCTCTTTTCTTATCTTTCTTTATAATTCTCCTTAAACCATACTTTCTCCTATGTAAAATGGAGGAAATCCCAAAGTTAAATTTACTTTTCAAAAATTCCTTAAATTTGCTCATTCACAGACCTAGTGAAAATACATAGTTTTGAGCACTCAAGTATGGGAAACAGTGAGCTAGGATAGAGAAAGACCTCTAGTATATACATACTAGAGGGCCAGTGCACAAATTCTGGCCTGTTGGATCAGGCCGAAACCAGCTCTCTGACAGCCCCCGAGGGGTCCTGGATTGCGAGAGGGCACATACCAGGCTGAGGGACTCTACCGGTGCATGATTGGGGCCAGAGAGGGATACAGGAGGTTGGCCAGTCAAGGAGGAGCCTAGGGAGGGCTCCAGGGTGTCCAGCCCATCTCACTCAGTCCCACTCAGCCAGACACCATCAGCAAGCTAATCTACCAGGTAGAGCATCTGGCCCCTGGTGGTCAGTGCACGTCATAGTGACTGGTTGACTGTCTAACTCCTGGTGGTCAGTGCACGTCATAGTGAGTGGTTGAGCGGCCTTAGCATATCATTAGCACATCATTCTTTGATTGGTTGAACAGATGAGGGGATGACCAGACCCTTAGCATATTAGGCTTTTATTATATAGGATAGTATGTCAGCCTATTTGAACTTTTAAGGTACCTCAGTTGAAAAGGGATGTAGAATTCTAGAGAGTACCTTCTTGTTTGCAGGGTTCAGTTTTCATGTAAAGATCTGTTTCTTGATCTTGAATTGTGCAAGTTGAGAAAGTTGTATTTCAAGTGAGCACAGTAGGCGAGATATAAAATAAGACACATCACTGAAAGAGTTCTAACTTGATCTTGAATTGTGCAAACTAAAACTTCATTGTGATTGGCAACACATTCAGCTTATCCTCACTATGTAAATGACATAGTAAGTAGTGGGAGATCTTGGAATTCAAACTTCCTACCACCTGTGGTCTTTTCTGTATTCTACTACAATCTTCTATTCCTCTTTTTCTTCTCCATCCTGATCCCCTAAGGCTTAAATCTCTCCCTTTCTCATTCACCTCCTTTATCAGTTTCTCAGCATTCATACATGCTCAGGTATCTCATTAAAAAAGAAAATAAAGAAAAACAACTTCATTTGCAGTCATTTCTGGAGCCAAAACCTGGCGTCAGTCTCCACCATTCCACTGAAACTGCTCCGTCATGGGAGTCCTTAACCTTCTTGTCCTGGATCCAGTGAATACTTATTAGTTTCTTATTGGTCTAGACTTTTTGGCAGCATTTCACACTGTTGACTACTCTGATTCTTGAAGCATTCTGTATCAGTGACTTCTATGACACACTGCTTTTCTGGTTACCTTGGCTGACCCTTTTGGCTTACTTTTAGTCTCCTGTGGTCTTTTCATCTTATTGTTTATTCTAAGTATTCTTCACAGTTGGTTCCCTCTTGAGATGTCTCCTCATTTTTTCAGTCACCATGTCCCACACAAAACTTATTTTCTCTCTTCCAACCCCACCCCAGTGTCTTAATAAGTGTCAGCTCCACACTTGGTAAGCTAGGCATGATCTTTAACTTCTATTCCCCACTCTCTTCCTTTATGGCCAATGACTGATCAATTCCTATCAGTTCTGCCTCATCGCTATCTCTGGAATCTGTTTACTATTTTGCATTCACATCACCCTACACCAGTTCAAGTCATCACTTCTTGTCTATAGTTCTTCAGCAGCCTCCTAACTGCTCTCCTATCTTTTTCCTCTGAGTCTGTTCTTTATCCAAATTGATCTTTCTACAATGCAAAGGAGATATGTTCAGCTTCTGTTATTCTTAGGATAAAGTCCAAAATTCATACCAGGGCCTCAAAGCCCTGTGTATGGTACTTCTCATGCCCTCTTCAGCCTCATCTCTAATTGTCCTTTATACCTCTATTTGGCTTAACTGAAAAACTCTTCCTTGTTCCCCCTGGCTCTGCACAGGTTGCTCATTCTCCTAGAACATTTCCGTCTTTCTTCCCCTTTGTCTAGTCATCCCTCTAGATCACTTGGGCATCACTTCTTCCAGGAAGCCTTTGCCTCTCCCCTCTCCCACACATCCAGATGCAGCATTTCCTGGAGGTTCCCTACCATGGCATTTATCACATTGTGTCATAATTTCCAGTTTGTTCATCCTTGTCACCCATTAGACAGAGAGCTCCTTGGAAAAGGGATCACATATGCCTCAGTCCTTGTCATAGCCTGTGTACTCACACATTGCTGGCATGCAGTCCCTGCTCCATAAATATTTATGAGATGAATGAACCGATTTTTTGAATGTATTTGTACAGTTATTAGCAATTTACAAAATTTTTATTAAATTATTTTTTAGCATTATAGCAAAGCCATTTCCAAATAAGTTTGGAAATCGAGTATCAGAGCTGCAATGGCATTTTCCTTACTTTTATAGTCCAATCTGTTTTAAGGCCATGGTAATTATTTCTGACAAAATCTCTTATCCAGTATTTTCTTCATTATTTGCTATATAAATAGGTCAGCTTATACAGAGGTTTAACAATGCATTCAACATAAATTCTACAAATGTTTAGAATCTTTGGGCTAATACTAATAAAATTTTAATGTGGCAGTGTTTTAGCTTTAAAACTAATCTTATTAATAATCAAAAGAAATGTGGTGTGTTTGTTTCATCTAGTCTAACAGCCATGTATATTATGGTTCCACTAAAAGTGAACTTTTAATGTTTTCATATCAGTAGTAGCTAATTCTTAAAAATATTAGACTGTTAAATGGAAGAACTATAGTGCCTATCAAGATTCTGATATTCATTCCAAATGCTGATTTTCCCAAAAAATCTCATGGGTTTGATCTCTGAGAGCTCACTTCACCCACTCTATTCACAGTAATATTTTTTTTCAAGTGACATGAAATGAAGAAGAGAAACACAAATATTTTAAATAATCTTTACAGTTAAAAATTGCTATTATTAATTATTTTAGGATTTCAGTTCTTATTTGGGCTGCTGATTTTAGGATTGTATAATTCTTTCTTGTACTTTATTGTACAAAATGAGGGGCATGTCTAACAAAGCCATTGCCTTACTTGACAGCTCTGGAGCCTCCCAGCTCAATTGCCTGGGATTTATACAAGATAAAATTACAGTGTGTGCAACAAATGACTCGTATCAGATGACACGAGAAAAAATGACCCAAGCCGAGGAGGAATCCCGCAACCGAAGCACAAAAGTTATTAAACCTGGTGGACCATATGTAGGTTTGTATAGATATCTTCCTTCTTCTCGCTGATTGATGGGAATATTGCAAGATCACTGTAGGTAAATACTGGTAATATTAATTTTATGAAAACACAAAAATTAGTTTTCAGTACATTTTAGATATCATGGTCAAAATCATTTGTTCTCTTCAGACTACTGGTTAATTGAAGAACAGATTTAAAGCTTTTATTTCTTCCATAAACCTGAATTCTCTGTTTGCTATTGATTACTATTTTATATTATTGGAATCTGGTCAAGTTATTTTACTATGTGAGGTTGTAAGAATGGTACCATTGTGTTTTCTTTGTCATTGGATGATGTAATTTCAGTGGCGGATGGTATGGTTTTTATTTTGCACTTTTGTAGGATTAGTTTTACAAAAATCTTTTGGTAGGATTTGTGAATTGATAATCTTTTTGTTGTAGCTTTTGCTTCCATTTTTAGAGGATCTTGGCACTTGCATAATAGTGAATTTTATTACAAAAAGTATAAGATGTGCTTATAGCAAGCATTAAGGTTATGCCTCCTTCGTACCTCAATTGTGATGTCATTTATGGATCCTCATCCTCATCCATTAATTAAGAGCCTGCCCCACTTCCATTATGTTTATCATCAGTTCACTCACATGCATCAGATTGAAGGGAAGGAAGACCAGACCAGCAAGATGAGTCTCTCCTTTATGAGCAGTGACCCTAACAATTTTAGGGTTCATTCAGTGACTGTTAAAAGTAATAAAGGGAATTGTCAAGGGTGAAAATGAACTCTTTGAGGCTTTGGTCAGTTTAGTAACATAAGTCACTGGATAGTAAATGATGAAAGGATATTAATTTGGAAACATATATGCTCACAAAAATAGTCTCTTGAAAAACCAAATCTCTTAATATCTTTCCATAGTTTGTTAGAATCCTGCTTCTGTAATTTTCCCATTGCTGACCTAACTATAATACAATCAGCTTTGAGAAGCTTCACTAGTGTCTTTAATAAGTATTTCTTTGGAACAAAGCCAGTGCTCTTGGGACCTGGTGCTTAGCTTAGATACATTTAGTTTGGTTTAACAACAATTTATATCTATACCCACGGGGTCCAGTTCCCTGCCCAGTAAGTTACCAGCAATGAGATTTTTCACCTTCCCTTTGTTGCTGAGTGAGGTGATCTTTCTCTTTTATCCTTACTTAACTTTCTTTATTAGTAGGCTAAATCCCAAATTATTTTTAAAATGCACAAGATCTGCTGCATTTATATTTAAGTACAAACTATGAATTAGCTATCCCTGACACTTTAAATATAATATAATATTATATATATATATATATATATATATATATATATATATATTTTTTTTTTTTTTTTTTTTTTTTTTTTTTTTTACTGTCCACTACCACCATTTTAGAAATAGTGAGACAAATTGGTGTGTTTGACAAAGGAATAGAAGACTTAAGCCATCAAAATCAGTTTTTCCCCTCCCAGTATAACTCGCTGAAAACCCTTATGTTGATTTATTCCAAAGCTTGAAAGTCACCAATGATTACTACACTCTTCCTTTGAATGATCCTTGGTTGCCCCCTATGTCTATGTGTTTTTGTTTGTTTTGATATGTTCAGGTACAGTTCATTTGCAGTTTACATAACAGACTTTTTAACACCCAGAATCTCATAGACCATATACTCCATAATGGTATGGGGATTTTAGAATTGCAAGGTTTCTTACAGGCACTACAAAGGATTTATATTTTTGGGAGTGACCCACATAAGACTTGAGGTTACCTAAGTTTTAATCTGAACCACATTACATCTACACCATTCAAAGAAGAGCTGGCCCCCTCTTTGCACACATGTTCCCACTTCGGAGCCCTGCAATGGCCTCTGCCAGGCTGAGTGCTCTGTCAAGTCTTCTCCTCTGTGCTGTGTCCTCAGTGCCCTAGCCACTCACCATCACAGCACAGTATTTTTCTCTGGTCTTGAATCTTGTCATTAACCTCCTCAGCCTTTTATTCTCTAGGTCAAATAACCCCAGCTCCTTTTAACTTTTCTTAATATGGCCTGTATCCCAACCCTTTAATTATTTTTATTGCTCTCCTCTGTACTAACTCCAATTCTTCACCTCAAAGTTCAAAACTGGACAAGCTACTCATAAGAAAACTCTCACCAACTCTGAAGTGTGGGGAGCAAAAGACTAGTATCCAGATGGGCTTTTCAGTTATTGTTGTTTTTTATATATTTTTTACTGTTCTTTGTTATCCATGTTTTGACTTTTTCCTTTTAACTTTATCCATCATCAGCCCTTTACCATGTTTCTTTCCTTCTATGTATCTTAATGTACATCTTTCTGCTTTTTTCAGTATCTCAAAACTATCTAACTCATTCAGCTCTCTAAAATGCAGTCACCCTTCAATATTAATATTACCCAGCCCTTATTGAGTACTTGTGATGCTTAAGGCACTGGTTAGCATTTTACATGTCTCAACCACCCTATGAAGTAGATTATGATTACCTGTCCACCTCTCCTTTTATATATCAAGTTGTTGGTATCAGCAAGTAGCAAATGTTATGAATTTGGCCTCACTAACATGTTATTTTCTTAAGACAATAGGAGATACCTCTTTAATTCATAATTGAATATATCATATAAAATGATACCAAAAGTTCACTTATGCCAACTTTGAGGTACGTTCGAAGAATAAGGTTTCTTTGAACAGTGTCAGCCTAGCTAGAGGATAAATGGGAATAATGCTGGTCCCACTGTAGGATTACAGTGGCATAATGCCAGGCCTCTGTCAGTTGAATTAGGGCTCAGGCCAAGTTTAAGGGACTGTATTCCTAGGGGTTACCTGGCTTAGTCACCCAAGAATATGAGCTTTGAAAACTTCTTGAGGGCTGAAAAGAACCAAAATCTGTTTTGCCTGGATAAGTGCAATAGAAAATATTATTTCTTTAGTCGAATTTCTACTTTGAATCATGGCATTTATATCAGTGGTAAGCACTGTTGTGATATAATCCTGTTTGTTAAAAAGGAAAAAAAAATCACTACCATTGCTTCAGGTTTACAAGTATCTTAAGTCTGCTCAGTGACTCCTACCAAAATTCTAGAATTGTACTGAATTACAAATTTTTATAATGCTAATATTTATTTAGGTATAGAAAACAACCCAACCAATCTAATTTCTCAGGTTCTGTTCCCAATGTTCCTAACTTCTACCCCCATCCTCCTAATTTCTTATGAGTTAATGCATGTTTGAGTGACCTCGGACAAATCATTTCACCTTTGTGTACCTTACTTTTCTCAAATAATAATTATGGGAGTTTGAATTTTGTACATCTAGGTTCTTTGTAGTTCTACCAATTTGTATCTGTTGTGTAAATATATTTTGATAGTAAACCCTTTGAAAAGTGATCATAAATGCCACATGGTGGAGATGGATTCCACTGCAGTGGAGTATGTATTTAACCATGGCAGTCACACCATCATCGAAGTCCTACCAGTGTTTTTAAAGTCTTGGGTCAGTATTGTCAGGGCTTCTGGTCAGGTTCCACAGAACAGAAAAACAACTGCAGGAGATGGCTACAACCCCTTATGTCTTTCTGATGTACTGTTTTTAAGACTTACCTTCCGATTTACTCAGCCATTAGAGGAAGGGATAGATACTTCTACCATCTCATTAAGTGGAGAAGCTAGAAGTGGACCCCTTGTTATGAAACAACAGTTTAGATGTAGTCCGAGATTACCCAACCCTGTCAGGCCTACTGCTGCTGTTTATGTAAGGAGCCCAGGGAATTGATTAGCGGTTGCGTCTGGGAAGAGAATTAGGTTCTCCCATAGGCTTTATTAAAAGAACTTTTCTGAGGCAAATGTAAGAAATGAAAATAAAGCCTTTCTTCCATCCACTTTGACCCTGACATTTTCCAGCTTTTTATTTTTTTGTTTTTCATTTTCTTTAGCATCTGAACTCTTTAACTACTTGCAGCACTGATCTGTAGGCTCTCTAACCTTAACCAGAGGACTCCTCCCTAGTTGAATAGGCACAAATTGATTGGGAGCCAGTGAGCAAGTAATTTTTGTATGAAACTAATTGGTCCAGTGTGGCTGGATTGTTCTTTCAACATTTGAAAGAAATGGGTTACCTCATGACTGGCAATTTAAAAGAAAAATGAAGATATTCATGGACTGATGGATGACAGTCTCACATTAGGCCCTAGGTGACTCTAACACTGTCACATCCCTGTCCAGATTCTATTTTCTATTCAAACATCATACTTACACTCCTCTTAAGGGCAGAGCGAGCCTCATTTGTCTGCTCTAAGTCTGCTTCAGGGAGGGGTGCGGGTAAACTCAGGAGACCTGGGGGTTCTCCTGAGACTGAGGATCAGAAGTACAGAAGAGTAAGATAGCCCAGAACACAGAGGTAGTACTGTCACTTTGTGTTTTCAATTTTATTTGCTTGTCTTGTGGCTTGAATTAGTTCTAAATGACCAGTCATGGTGTGTTGAGCTTCACTAAACATTCTCTGCCCACCTCCCTCCCTCTCTGGAATTGGGGTGGGGATACCCCACAGTAATCTTGTTTGGGTCAGAGTAAGTTAAAAAGGTTTCAAGGGGAAGGGAGTTTGAAATTTATAGCATTTCCTAAACTTTTGTGACCCCAATTCTTTCTTACCCCTCCCCCAAATCTCTATTAAAAATTCAGGGACTAGTACTGTTTGTTAACACTAGTGCAACTGAGAAATGGTGGATTGGGAGGTTTGCATTTGCCATTTTAGAAATTTCAATGTCTTTCCATTCTGGCAGTCTGGCAGTGTGGGAATACACACTGTTGATTCTGGCTACTCTACTATCTAATTGTTCTCTTGCTGTCTTCACTTTGACACTTTGCAAGTCTTTCACTTTGCTAGCCATTATATTCTGAATCAAGGTCTGCTGAGGGACATGGAGTTTGCAGCCTAACATGAAGCAACAGTGGACATTAGGCATTTGTCCATGAAACCTTTCTGCAAAGAAGTACAAGTAGGAAAACTTGGGTATTTATCATAGAACCCTCCAGATGCTAAGAGAGTACTTTACTGTTGAGCTTATCCCATTCAAAGCAGTGCCCTCCCCAACACATAATTGGTGCATGATCACCAGTTTGTTCCCAGTGCATCTGACATTGATCTAGCTGTCTCTAAATTAAGAAAAATTCAGAAACCAGATATAAATCTAATTCCAAAACCCTAATTGCTCTCTAATTTAACAGCTTTTCTTATTGTAGGACAATATCCCTTTCATGTTGAATTCCTTAGTTGTACAGTATTTTGGCCTGATATTTAAAATTAGTTAAGTCCAGATAGTAAAGAACAATAAGAGCTAGTGACATATTCATCCTTTCCCCTTTACCTTCAGTAGGATGGTTTCAAACAGTCCCTCTGGCCAGGCCTCCGGAATCTAACATAGACAGAATTATTCAGTAAATCTCCTGCCCCATTAAGCCAGCCATTTTCACTCTAGACCATAGCACTTAAATGACTTCTTTTCCTTAGTCATTATTTCTAGTTGCTAAACTTGTACCTAAAGCAATTGCCCCTCATTGTATATCACTGCCAGTTGTTTTCATTCTTTAACCAGAGTGAGCAGTTAGGGACTTAGAGTATATTAAATGAGTCATAAGATTTTACCTCAGACATTATAAAATGAGGGTCTTACTCAGTTTCATTCTAATTTTCCTTTTCTAGGTGTAATTTTAGAAATAATATGTAAAATTAAGTTCTGCAAATTTCCATTTAACATCAAATACCTACATCCTTAAAATTTCCACTTTGTTGCTATGATGTGTGTCATTAATTATTATCAATGCATAACTAAGTGGCCAGAATACTTTTATAATAAATATTTATTTCAATAAATTACTTCATCAAAAAAAATATTAATTCATATTATTATACACAAATGTGTAACAAATGTCGTTTCTGCTCGACTGTAGGGAAAAGAGTGCAGATTCGGAAAGTACCTCAAGCTCTATCAGATGCAGTGCCTGAGAGGAAACGGTCAACCCCCATGAACCCTGCAAATACGATTCGAAAGACACAAGGCAGCAGCAGTGTTTCTCAGCGGCCATATAGGGACAGAGTGATTCACTTACTGGCACTGAAGGCCTACAAGAAACCTGAGCTGCTGGCTCGACTGCAGAAAGATGGTGTCAATCAAAAAGACAAGAACTCTCTTGGAGCAATTCTGCAACAGGTAAGAACAGCAGGAGAGAGTTCCTTCCACCTACATTCTTATTGAGAAGTTCATTTAAGAAGGCTTGTTTTTGCTGTAACCACTATTATTGAGGCAGAGAAAGTTCAGAATCATTTTTGCTACATGAAATATAACTCCTGAATATTACATTAAAGCATTTTTTTAAAGAATTAAAAACTAATTGAAATGTAGGCATTTATACTAGGATTTATAAGTTAGAGGCTTCTGAGTTGTTAAACAATTAAAGTTTTGAGTCATTACCTTCATTTGGGTTAAATAAACTTTGCATTGAAATTTCATTTTTAAAAAGTAAGCAAGACTCTCTGTTTTTAATATTGAATCACCTAAATGATTGTCATAATTTTTATTGGTTTATATAGGTGAAGTTGTACAATATATCGATATTACCAATCTTTAGTTGGTATAGACTAGAATATTTTTACCTACTACATAGTTTGCGTCTTGCCTGGTATACTACCATTGCATAGGTTAAGATCACTTGTCTTCATTAAAGACATGAGTGTATAAAGTATTAGTTCTGATCAGTAATCTTATAATCACAAGCTTAATTGTAAAATTTAGTTAAAGTCAATAGTTTGGAACTTCCTATATTTTTTATATTGACTTTGGGTCATAAATGTTGATTAGCATTCAAATCAGCCATAGATGGTAGTCCATATGTGATCTTTTTTTCTAAAGCAGAAATATCATATTTCCAAAGTTGTTCTTAAATTTCATCATTAAAAACAAACAAACAAAAAACCCTGCAGGTTTTCATCTATTATTCAAAGAATAACACTTTTAAGTCTATTTTTACCTATTCTCTCTTACATTAAAGGCATGATACTAACTCTTATGAGAGAGTAAATGCATAATCTCTAGTTTTGGGGTGTTATTAGCATGTGTAGTAACCCAGATAATAGGAACTCTAAGGATTGTTATATTATTTCACTTTGAGAAGTCTGTATCTCATGTCAGTTTATTTGCATATTTAAATTTTAAGATAAGCCTACCATTATCTATTTTGTGACAATATTAACATATTAGTACTAGTGCCTCAGTACACGAAATTCATGCATGGAGTGGGGTAGGGGTTCCCTCAGCCCAGCCTGCACCCTCTCCAATCAGGGACCCCTTAGGGGATGTTCAACTGCTGGCTTAGACCCGGTTCCTAAAATCCCCCTTGCAATCTGGGACTGCTGGTTCCTAACCACTCACCTGCTTGCCTGCTGATTGCCCTTAACTCCTCTGCCTGCCTGTCTGATTGCCCCTAACTGCCCTCCCCTGCGAGCCAATTTGGTTCTGATTGGTCAATATCTACGCTAGTCAGCATCAAAAGCCTCACCTCCTAGGCAGCCATTGGGTGGCACAGTTCACCCAGATTTGGTTCTGATTGGTCAGTTTCTATGCCAGTAAGCATCTCCAGGCCTATCTCCAGGCCTGATCAGAGAGGCAGGGCTGATCAGCAGCCCACACGGAAGCCCAGAGAGAAACGGGTGCAGCAGACAGAGGCAACAGCTGGTCAGAGGAGGCTACAGAGCAGGCCCTGCCTCTCTCTTCTGACCTCTCTTCAGGCCTGATCTGCAGATCCTCAGCAGTCGGTGCTAGGTCGCTGTGCCCCCACCAACAGCAGTCAGGGCTGGGTCACCACGGCAACCCAGCACTGACTGCAGGACTGACTTTTGGTGTTCAGTGGAGCCTTCGGTCGGTCTTTACAGACCCTGGGATTTTATATGTTAGGATTCTACCGAGCTGTGAGGAAAGCATATACTAGCCTACTATATTTAATAGTACTCACACAGAAGTCATTAAAAAGGAGACCTTTCCAGTAGGAATTGACAAGAGGAATAATTTTCTGCCAGCCTTAAAAATGACTCTCCATTTGATTCTTCCATCAGTACATTTGTGTTGTTAATAGAATGTAGGCCTGGACACTCCAGGAATTGTAGTTAGGGGATAAGAAAAGATTACACTTGGGACTACACTGGCAGATTAATAACAGTAATTGTATGTCATTTGAGGGTTATTTTGGTTTATTTCCATTTTTTGGAATTTCAAAGACTGAATAAGTGGCTCTTATTATCCAAGAAAATGACAAAGTTGTCACAATTGATACTATTTATGGAAATAATTTCTGTTGATTACTGAAGGGAAAGTTTGTAACCTAACATTTGGGCACTACTTGGTTTCTACTTAATACAAGTGACTAAAGAATCAAAGTAGATAATAATGATAATGATGCTGATAATATAACTGTTTTTAATTCCTTTGACTAGGAATTAAATTTATTTTAAAAAATCTTTCTCTGCCTAATATGGGCTTACTATTTGATTAGAAATATGGCAAGTGCAGTGGCCACTTAGAGGGAAAATTTTCTTAGCTATTTACATAAAATTTTAATTGCCCAAATAAAGTTGAATAGCATTTGTTGAGATCAGGTATATGCAAAACGAGCAGTCCCTCTGTGGTCAATTGATGCAGCTATTTTCAATATAACTCCAAAAGGTTACCTGTTTTAGGTTAGAAAAGAGCAAAAGAATCTAATGTTCCGTTCTGTTTTCACACCATGTATCAGGTAGCTAATCTGAATCCTAAGGACCTCTCGTATACCTTAAAGGATTATGTTTTCAAAGAGCTTCAGAGAGATTGGCCTGGATACAATGAAACTGACAGACGTTCATTAGACTTTGTGCTCTCAAAGTAAGTTTCTTTTCCTTTAAAAATGATGCATATAAGATTATTTTAGTCATTGTTATTTTAGTGTTGAGCTGGGAAAAGAGAGGCAAGGGTAAGCTTTCTATCATGAAAATTCTCTCCATAACTGGAACCTGTGTGTCCTTTACAGGAAATTAAATACATCTCAGAATGCTGCCAGCACCAGGCGTTCAGAATCTCCTGTATGTTCCAGTAGAGACACTGCGTCTTCTCCTCAGGTATTGCATAGAATTACAGTCATAGTCCTAAGCGGACCTTGGGGCATCTAGTTCAGTTCCTCTATTTATATGTGAAGGAAGTGAGGCCACAGAAGATGCTTAGCTTGTCTGCCCAAACTCACATCGCTAGTTTATGGCAGAACTCGGTCTGGAATTCAGGTACCAGCTCTCAGCCCAGATCTCTTCTCCACTGTACTACAGTTCTTGTCAGAGTACTTAAGGTTTACCTTGCTTTTCCATTTTTAAAGCTTACATTTTGTTGTAAGATTATCTGCTTTTCCATTTGGTCACTAACTTGAAGACCTATCCAATCCTATATATAGTCTCATATTATATAGAAAATTGAAAATATTTAATTTTATCTGAAACACGTTCCAGAAAAATATTCTTAGGGAAAAGTTTTTAAAATAAGCGAGCAAAAAATTCTTGCCATTTTTATTTTCTGAAAACAATTTTGCTGTAACCACTATTATTATTGAGGTAGAGAAAGTTCCCAATTAGATCCCAAGCAGAACACTGCAATTAGATTTAATATGGCTTGGTTTCCCCTAAGAATTCAATTTGCCTTAGAAAAAGGTACGGAGATCCTGGGTAGTATTAGAGTTCAAGTCTGCTTGGTTCTCAGAGGGCCAGTCTTGACCTCTGTATCCCAGGTATTTGGGATTGACAGTGAGATAGACCTCTTTATCCCAGTACTGCTGGCAGAGTGCCCCTCTCTGCCCTTCCCTCTCAAGGATTAGAGAGGCAGGACAGATGTGTGACAAGCCGTTAGCATGCTCTGCGTAAAGGCTATTCGTGACAGAAAATATTAGCAGCCCGTTGTGAGGAACAGAAGAGGAACAAAATGAAAGCATTTCTGACCTTGCATGTACATTATCTATAGAAGCTTCAATTGTAATGCCACTTACCACGAAGCTGCTGATATTTCTGATCTGATTATATACTGGGTGCCAAATCAATGATGCTAAATTGAAAACAGATTAAATTAATGGGGTGATTAACTTATTTTATCTCAAGCTGCGGTTTAAGCCACAATATTCATTGGATGTATACTTAATACTTTTCAACTGTCTGAATTTTCTTTCTAATTTAAATACTATTGTTGCTGCTGAATTGGGCTAATCTTAGTGTGTTTTTTTTTTTAATGTTTGAAACAGTAATTCCATAGCATTTTTATGGACCAGTTATTAAGACTTATTTTCTAATCCAATGAAGGGGAAAAATGAATAATATTTCAACAATGAATAGTATTTCAGAGATACAGAAATTATCTGAAGAAATTACTCTGAAGGTGCTGGCTGTTCCCATCTTCAGACAAGTGAAATAATAAATGACAGTCAAAATATTCATAACTGGAGCATCTTACATTAGAGATTAAGTGTAGGCTTATTGTCTTTTACCAACCCTGTTCTGACAGAGGGAGATGGTACAAACTGCGTCCTCCTCTCCTTTATTATAAGTAGGTCAGGAGGCTATTTCTGTTTAGAACTCTCCTGATTAGTGTAATTTACATAAATTGCAATAGTCTCTCAAAGAACTTCGGGTGAGGCTGTATGATGAAAAAAATAGGAACTCCAACATACATATACAGGGAGGGCAAAAGTAGGTTTATAGTTGTTCATATGGAAAAAGACAGGAAGGATATGATTATTACAATAGCTTTATTAACTCAAGAATGTCACCATGGCACAGTAAACCTGTTTTTGCCCACCCCTGTATTTGCCAGATTCTAATTCTTTACATTAGACATAAGAATTTATGTCACTTGTGTTTTTGTGGCTTGTTTGTTTGTTCTTGCTAAGTTTGGAGAAGTAAGTATGAATAAAATTATTCAGTTGTTCTTATGGTAACCAAGGATGCATATATTGAATTTTAGTGCAAACTGGCTCATATTTTTTTCTGTTCCCCCCTCCAGAAACGGCTTTTGGAGTCAGATTTCATTGATCCTTTAATGAATAAAAAAGCTCGAATATCTCACCTAACAAATAGAGTGCCACCAACATTAAATGGTCATTTGAATTCCACCAGTGAAAAATCTGCAGGCCTCCTGCCACCCCCTGCAGCTGCTGCCATCCCCACCGCTCCACCACTGCCTTCAAACCACCTGCCCGCCTCCAACCCTCCTCAGACTGTAGATTCTAACTCCAACTCCCCTAGCACTCCAGAAGGCCGGGGGACTCAAGATCTACCTGTTGACAGTTTTAGTCAAAACAGTAGTAACTGTGAGGACCAGCAAGACAAATATACCTCTAGGACTTCTCTGGAAACTTTACCCTCTGATTCAGTTCTACTAAAGTGTCCAAAGCCTATGGAAGAAAACCATTCAATGTCTCACAAAAAGTCCAAAAAGAAGTCTAAAAAACACAAGGAAAAGGACCAAATAAAGACACACGACATTGAGATGAGTGAGGAAAAGGAAGAGGACCTTAAAGGAGATGAGGAAATTGCCAAGCTGAACAACTCCAGTCCAGATTCCAATGAAGGTATTTTATACTTATTAAAACCAACTATACATGTAAATTAATGGGAAAGGGGACTGTCATAAGTGTGAGGTTATGCTGTTTATAATAGTATCAGTGGAGCTTCCCATTTAGTTATTAATCTTAGTATTGTGGTTTTGAGAAGGCTATTTTTGTTAAGTATGGTGTGTGTGTGTGTGTGTGTGTGTGTGTGTGTGTGTGTGTGTGTGTGTATAGGCTGAGCTGAGGGACACATACCCTCTCTGCATGAATTTTGTGCACTGGGTCTCTAGTATATATATAAAAAGCCAGCAACCAGAACACTGGAATGACTGGTAGCTATGATACCCACTGTGGCCAGCAAACCACTGATCAGGGGATAGGGCCAGCCAGCCAGTCTTCCCCATTCCTGATCAGAGTCTCCCACCCCAATCACAACCCCCTTATGGTTCTTCCCCCCAATTGGCCTGCCCAATCAGCCCACCCCACCCCAATTGGCCTGCAGCCCCTCCCCCTGGCTGGCCCTTCCTCCAATGGGCCCCCACCACCCTGATTGGCACACAGCCCCCCTCTCTGGCCAGCCCCGCCCCTGATTGACCCCCTGCAATAGGGGGTGGGACCAGCCAGCCAACCTCCTATGTTCTTCCCAGCATCCAGCCCCACCCCAAATCAGCTCCCCCACCCCAATCAGGGATGGGGCCCGCTGGCCAGTCACCTGTGGCCTCTCCCCTCAGCTGGCCCAACCCTTATTGGGCCCCAATCAGGGCAGGTCAGCTGGCCAACCTCCCACTATTTCCTCCTTCCAAAGACCTGGCCAGCCGGACCCACCCATGCACGAATTTGTGCACTGAGCCTCTAGCTTGTGATTCACAAGCTAGACATTTGGAAATGACCCTGTCATACCCATTTGGAAATGACCCTGTAATACCCAAGACCCCTTTAAAGAAGGAGGACTTTGCTGCCCTTTTCCATACTGTGATGGTGTTATGCAACCTCAACCTGACTTATTATATGCCATTCTTAAACTGATTTAGCTAGGCACACAATTAGCAATAAAAATATTCATTTCCTTCTATGCCACAGAAACAGGGTCACCCTTGCTTTAATTGATATTAGCACAGGGGAAATATCAAATTCTTTATAGAACAGACGAGGTAAAATTACATTTACAGATTCATAAATCATCTTCATTCAGAGTAAAAGCAATTTGAATATACCACTATCCGTTGTTATTAATAAAATTAATCATTTCAAGATTTTGAGCTTTAAATGCAAGTATCTAGAGACCCAAAGAGGCTTAACATAATGCTTTACCTCTAAAGAAAAGCTAACTAATAGGATTGCTTACCTGGGATATAGTGATTTTTAAAACCTAATAACAAAATTGGATTTTTTTTTCAAGAGTTGCCCTCTAAAGCATAATGTCATACATGCCAGCACATAGAAGACCCCAAACCATCATTTAGCATTGCTGCTCATTTTAAACCCAACATAATTAATGCAAAATTCCCCAGGAAAATACATCTTCAGAAAAATTATTTTAATGAATAGAGTTTAAGGAGTATTGTCTTTCTTTAACTTACCCTCAATATTAGAAGTATATAGTCCTTAGATTTAACTACTGTTTTTACCATGTGAGAAGTTTGATTATAGAATAGTATCTTATAGTGCCTTTATTGATCTGGATTGAATGTATTGCATGTCATGGTATCATGGTATTATCTGTTAAAATATTGGCATCAGTATGGTACTGTATAGTGGACTAAGAGATAGGTGTAAGCTTTTTTCCTCAAACACTGTCATATGGACACAGGTCAAGAAAAGCAAGAGGTAATACAACTTCCTGTTCAGAGTTAGTACATCAGATCCCTGAGTATGCCCCACTCTCTACACTCCCTACCCTTAAGTGGTGATCCTGAGTCAGAGGTTAGTGCTGGAGGGACTGTGTCCCAGGATGTAGAAACCTGGAGGTCTGGAGAAGCAGACTTAGTCTTTCTGAATCCTTCAATGAGGATATGGCATCTTTCAAAGACAATTGAGATTATCATGAACTGAGGAAGGTCAGACCCACATCCCCTGTACCTGTTTGTCGGAACTTAGTTGGTGTCTGTGTCAAAGGAGAAGCCAGGTGACATGCACTTGATGCCTTTTTTTTTTTTTTTTTTTTTAAGACTAAGGCTGTTGTAAAAACAAGCTTTTTTACCCTGTGAATCAAAATATACAGTAGTCTCCTTTATCTACAGTTTTGTTTTCTGTGGTTTTAGTTATCTACTGTCAACCTTGATTCCAAATATATTAAATACAAAATTGCAGAAATAAACAGTTCATAAGTTTTACATTGTGTGCCATTCTGAGGAGTGTGATAAAATCTCACACTGTCTCCCTTTGTACCAACCAGGAGGTGAATCACCCCTTTGTCTAGTGTCTCCACCCTGTATACACTACCTGCCTGACAGTCACTTAGGGCTGGCTGGGTTATCAGATCGACTGTCTCTGTATTACAGGGCTTGTGTTCAAGTAACCCTTATTTTACTTAATAATGGCCCCACAGCACAGAAGGAGTGATGCTGGCAATTCAGATGTGCCAAAGTGAAGCTGTAAAGTGTGTGCATGTATAGGAAAAACAGTATATGTGGGATTTGGTATTATCAGGGGTTTTAGGCACCGACTAGGGGTCTTGGAACATATTACCTATGCTTAATGGGAGACTACTAATATATATATATATCTGTGTGTATGTGTGTATGTGTGTATATATATACATATATATGTATATATCTAAATGTACATGAACAATAAGTCCACAAAGTTTGCATAATTTAATAAATATACTTTGTCCTTTAAAATATTAAACCAAAAAAGTATCAAATATTCACTTTAGTTTTATATTGAACATGTATGTTTTGCCAGCAGGCAGGGTTATGGCTTGAGTTATTACTTTAATTATACTTTGAATGATAAAAAATTACTCAAGTAAAAAGTGTAAACATACACTTCCTTCTGGAAAATATGCATTCAAACAAATGAAATACTGAGGGATTTTATACATTTCATAGCATAGTTTTGAGGGACTAGCACTTTATTTACTTGTCCTTTTAAAAAAAAAATCTGTTATGAGGATTAGTGATTAGAGAGTGTAAGTCTGTGTTAATAACTTATTTTAAATTACTTTAAAGGGATGGGAAAATTTCCTATCCAATTCCACTGTCTGCATACAAAAAGAGTAGAAGTAAAAATACAGTGACCGAAGCAGTCTGCTACCTGACTTCAGTGTCTCATCTGCCTTGTTTGAATCCTATGAAAAGTAGATGTTGATGTAAAATTTTATCTCCCATTGTCTGGCTGCATCTGCCACCGCAGTCTTTGAATTGCTGGGCAGATGCCACAACTGTTGCTGAAAGAATAGAAGATTGACCTTGGGTTAAGATGGAATTCCTTTATTGTGCAGACGCTGCAGTAGCCAGGGTGCTTTCAATGCCTGGCGTTGGTTCTGCTGGCGCTGGTCAGAGGCCTCCATTGTTCGTGTTCAATTGTATTCCTTGCTCATTGTTGCTTATTGAGATGGAAGAAGAGAATTTGAGGAAAAGTGTTCCAGATGTTTCTGATCTATTTTAGAAATATAGGCATTTTATAACCATACTGTTGGTGAACACTTGAATTTCTTTCTTCGTAGGAGTTAAAGAGGGTTGCACTGCCTCCATGGAGCCTTCTTCAACAATTGAACTCCCAGATTATTTGATGTAAGTTCAGATGTCTGCCATTGAGAGAGAACTGTTTAATTTTAGAAACTTTGCAAATTCTTTTCCCATAACTTGCAAATCAGAAAAGTAAGAAGTTCCAGAAATAGTGTCCCGGAGCCACCCCTGCAATTGAAAGGCTGCCATTAAGCCTGCTTGTCCCAAATCCACCCAGCCGGCTTCAGCAGGTTGTGCCTCCCCCTGCTCAGAGCTCTGCTCGGGGGCTTTAAGTATAGAGAAGCCTGTCCTTTGTTCCGGGGCCAGGCCAAGCTTTTGATTATGGAAGATTTCAGGGATCGGACTCTTCAAAGCTGACAGTCTGTCAATGCACAGACCTTCTCTGAATGTGTTTCTGATAAAGTGCTTAAACCTCTGCAGTTAATACAAAGGAGAGGTAGATTGATTTTGTTTAAACAAAGCTATGCTATCAAATTAATTTTAAGAGAATAGTAAAATTTGATCATCTCACTTTACTACAGGTTATAATGTTTTTCTTGTTGTGGCAACAAGTTGCTAAACGCTGTGCCGGGGACATTTTTGTAACTGGCTATCACAAAAATTATAACTTGGACACATAATTCTAGCTTTTTTACAGACTCAAAGGCTTCATAAGAAGAAAATAATTAAGTTGCAAGAGCCTGGGAAAATGGAGAGTGAAAGAGCAAACAGGTCTAACTGTCGATAGCTTAAAAAATGAACAAACGTGCAAAATAGCTTGAATGTAAAATAGAAAATGAAATCTGTGCTGTATGAATAGTTTCTCTCAATTTAGTACCATGATGGACAAAGTTGAATTATGCTATTTAGCCCTCAATGTCCCATGAAAAGTTCATTTCCGGATTAGAGAATATTTTATACATAAATGTGTTACTTTTGCTTAACAGTAGTGTGAAAGCTATATTTATTGTCAAATGATACAGCAGGAAACCATAAGACTGGTTATCATCTCTTCTTAAGTAAAAAGAAGCCATGTATAGTACTCTCTCATCTGAATAGTGTTTGGTTTTGGGTTCTGTGCAGGAGCTTTGAAAAGCAGGTACCACTGAGTTGGCCCAGGAAGGGTCAGTTGGAGGACAGTACCTTTCTCCACCAATGATGGGGGATTCATTTCTCCAATTGCTATGAAAATTGTCACCCCCCTCAAATAACAACTACAGTACTGTACTCTCATTCTCAAGTGATGGATTTTGAAATTCTCTTTTTTGCCCTAGTGATGTATACTTATTATATATGACAGATCATGTAGGGAGACTGAAAAATAATTCTGACCCTCATCTCATGGAGTAAGGCTGCGTTTTTTCAACTTAATCAGTTAATTCTATATTAAATTTTTTTTTAACTTACTGATGTATCTGCCTCATCAGTGCATGTCTGATCCCCTATCATGTTTTTAGCTCTTTAAAAATTATAAAAATACAGAAGCTATGTGATTGCTTGCTTTACTTAAGTAAGAGCAATTTATTTTAACAAAAAACTAAGTTATATATATATATATATATATATATATATATATATATATATATATATATATATAGTGAGAAACATGAATTTTCAGAAAAAATTACCAAAACTATAAAAATAAAACTTAACTTGATAAGAAATTGAAAGATCATACTATAAAACCTTAATGGTCAACTTCTGAATAATGCATACTTAATTTCAGTATTCCTAATTTTTATATAATAAGAATACTCCTGCTACTTCTGGTTGTGAATTGTCCAAATTGTTTAAAATTTTATTCCATTCCTGCATTAAGAATCAACTGTAGAACTCATACTTTTTGTAAAAATAGTAAAGTGCTTTTTGTTAAAATGCCAATATAATCAAATAATCTTCTATAATAGCAATACAGCTGTTGGTCGGTTTGTAATTTTCCGAAGGAATTTATTAAATAAAATACTGAGAGAGTGGTTTTGAGAAAGCATGAGTATTTTGCATAACAGATTAACCTGAGTTTCACAATCTGTTTAGCCATCTCCTCACGTACTGTCCGGGGAACTTTCTCCCTAGTGGGCTCCCTCTGCAGTGCGGAGAGGAGAGAAGAGGAGAGGAGAGAACAGAACAGGACAGGACAGGACAGGACAGGACAGGACAGGACAGGACAGGACATCCCGTCTGGAAAGGATTGCTTCCTTGCTGGGCTGGTGGTGTTCCTTTTACAGCACACACTCCAGCAGGGCAGCTTTCAAACAGCATACTACTGTAATCTCCATTACACTTAGAAAATTAAACCTCCATCCTAACTCAGCGTGAATAAAAATATTAATGAAGACATTAAAGTTGCTCACTGCATTACTTTTCTCACATTTCCAACTAGGTATCTGTGCTATTACGTTTAAATATAACTGGAAAGTTATCTGAAACCATTTTGGAGAGGATTGAACTCCAAGGTTTTCCCACAGTGAAGAATATTATGCACCCCCGGGGGCTCCCTGTTTGAAATTGCTTTGAAATCTCAATTTTTTATCTCAATGATGTCAAGGGATTTTTGCATTCCACGACAGAAGCACAGAGTGCAAAGGATCCTGATGTGATTCCCAGCCCCTGGATCCACAAACAAATAATATGAATATTAAAATGCTGGTTTAATTTACTTACCACTGAGTAAACTGACACTCTGGGAAAATGGTCTTCATTCACCAGATCCCTAGAAGTGTTCAGACCCCAAAGTAAAACAGCTTTATGGCATTTTTATAGAGAAAGTAAATTAGACTAATAGCACAACACTGCCTTTCTGTTACACAGGTTATACTGTGTCATTTTTTTAAAGGACGATTTTCCTTTTGTATTTTAAATATTTGCCTAATCATAACGGGGAGGAAGCCTGAGGCACCTTGGTGGCAGCAGGTGTGAAAGGCCCAAAGACAGTTCCCGCATAATTCCCTCATGTCTTTTTTAATTTATTCTCCTCACTGAAGCTCTCAAGCTCTTCCGTGGGAGAATTGCACCTGGCAGGTCTTGGAAGGAGTGACATGGCTATCTTTTATACTGTTTTCCTTATTAGAAAATATATTGCTATCGTCTCCTATGAACAACGCCAGAATTACAAGGCTGACTTCAATGCGGAGTATGATGAATATAGGGCCTTACATGCCAGAATGGAGACCGTAGCTAGAAGATTTATCAAACTGGATGCACAACGAAAGCGCCTTTCTCCAGGCTCAAAAGAGTATCAGGTAAATGCATGTGTTCGTAGACGGGCTGGCTTTCATGTTTTACTTTTATCTCTGCCTGGCCCAACCCCCAGGCATCCTGTTAGCCTTCAGAGTAGGCCTTCTTGCTGACCAGCTTCTCTGCAGCTTTTAGCTTCCATTTAAAATTAGCTGGTAACTAAATATTTGAACTATAGTGCTTCAACCTGTATTTCTGTCAGTGGAAAAAAAATAACCTTCTATTTAACATAAATTTTGTATAAAATATGCAATATATGCTTAATGCATACAGTGCTGCAGCAATACATGCAAAATGCATTGCGAAGAATACCAAACACAAATAAATAGGAAAACAAATTGGATTTTGGCTCCATCAGAACATTTTATTGCTCAGGCTCCAGCTCTAAATATGGTACTGTCCCCCAAAACTGCAATTCCAAATCAATACTTTAAGTAATTTTTAAATAACCTCAGTCTGGCATAGAATATGGAAGATGTAGACATAAAATATAACAAGGGTCTTAATACCACAAAAGTTTGGGGTTTAAGAAAAACATGGTGTTTCCAGCTATTCCAGAGACAGACATTTATTTGTTAGCAGGTAGTGATCACTTTTCACTTTCCTACTTTAAATGGTAATATTACCACAGCTCAAAGAACAGCAGAAGCCTGGCCTGAATATTCTCATGGTTCTTAGCAAAAGGATTAATATAAACGAGTCTTTACTTGCTTGATAGACCAGATAACTTGGTCGCACTTTACAGGCATAGATGGTGCCGCCATCCAGGCCCACTGCCCTTGTTCTGACAGGAATGGAGCCAGAGAAGGGATGAGTTTTCCCACAGGGGAGCGCCTGTGTCTTAGATATCCATTATGACTACTATTAGGAGGCCTTACTCTCTTAAACAAGCCGCCTAGAATTATATATTTTGCCAAAGGAGTTGATGTTTGAGGATTCGAGAAGACGGTGATATGTGTCTCAGGTTTGTTGTTTTCTATGTAGTTATTTACCAGCGTAGCATGATCATCTTCCAAGGATGGTTTGGTGATTAGAAGTAGTTCCAGAGCCAGATGCTGGGTTTGGTTCCAACCTCCTACCATTTAATACTTTAGTGATCTTGGGCAAGTTATTTAACTTGCCTCAAAATCCCCATCCATAAAATGAGGTGACTATAGATTTATACAGAATAAATGTCAGCATTTGGAACCTGCTTAGATCCATCGCACATCAGGTTATATGATACTTAAGCATTAGCCATTTTCCCCAGCCACCCAGGTTTCCTCCCTAGAGATAATCAGTAGTGCTGGTTTCCAGTGTATTCTTTCAGAGGCGAGAGAGAGAGAGAGAGAGAGAGAGAGAGAGAGAGAGAGAGAGAGAGAGAGAGAGAGAGAGAGAGAGAGAGAGTGTGTGTGTGTGTGTGTAAGCAAATTCACATAGGTACCATATATAATTAAATCTAAGAAGTGTAATGATAAGATACACTATTGTGTTACATTCAAATGAGTTAAACTATGATACATGTTTACCTGATTTCATTAAGATGAGAAGAAATATGCATCTTGGAATTAATGAAATTCTTAGAATATACAATTGACATCATTTTAAACAAATGATGTCAATTGTATAAATTGTTCTGCACTTTGCTTTTTTCACTGAACAATACAATGAACCATAGAGAATTTTTAAATATAAGTAAACACTTCTCCTTTGTTTAATGTTCTCCTTAGTATTCCTTTGCATGGATTAATGGACACTTAGATGTTGTTTACTATCTTTTGCTTCACAAGCAGTGCTGCAGCAAGTGACCTTCCACACACACCATTTCACTCAGACACCAGGAAATCGGAAAGAAAATCTAAGTGCTGAGCCAGTTTTGCATTTGCTGTATTGATAACAGTTGCCAAATTACCTTCCTTAGTAAATTGTACTGATTTACATTCCCATCATCAATATTTCCCCACACACTTTCAAATGTGTATTAACTATATATGTTGAAAACAAAAGAAGTTCTCTTCTGATTTCTAATTTTTAATTTTGTAGAATGTTCATGAAGAAGTCTTACAAGAATATCAAAAGATCAAGCAGGTAGGTATCATCACTATTGTTTTCTGACATGAAGTTGGGAAGTAATTACAAATTATGTAACCTGATTCCTCCTGTTCTTTTCCATCCACAGTCTAGTCCCAATTACCATGAAGAAAAATACAGATGCGAGTATCTTCATAACAAGCTGGCTCATATCAAAAGACTGATAGGTGAATTTGACCAACAGCAAGCAGAGGCATGGCACTAGAGCTTGGACCAGAAGATGTGAATAAACTTAAGATTATTTATTTAAAATTCCAAATGAGTTGCTCTAAGATTCTAAAAAAGGAAACTTTGCCTGTCGAAAGTTTCAGTATTTGTCAACTTGAGTTAACTATTTTTTTTTCTTTCTGTCCCCGCTCCCCACAACCCTCCATTTCTTTGCTTCCCTGCAATTTTGAAGCTGCTTTTACTGGTCCTTTTTTCCTCCCTCAAGACTTGTGTTTGTCAATAGAAGTAAATTTTTTTTTAGATATTGGGGATCCAGTATCTATACTTCAAATCAGTTTTTTTTCCCTTATAAACTTGTTTGTAATTAGCAATGATTTTTTTTAGATATTGGGGATCCAGTGTCCACACTTCAAAGTTATGTGTGTTAAAAAACAAACCAGTAATGTGCAAGGTGAAATGCGTTTGGATAAACATAAGCCTATTTTCTGACCTTTCTTAATGCAAACTCTTTGCCTTAAATGGTAGAATATTTAGAAATTTGCACAAAATACAAAAAAATTAAAACATTGTATTGGAGGGTTAAGAAATAAAAAGGTCTAAGAGTATGTATATGTGTGTAGCTACAAATACACACAAATATATATTTATACACAGGCTGACTTGATCTAGAACGGTAAAGTGCCCTGCAAGTTAACCCCCCATTGCAATGGTTGCCTTAAGGTGTTTGCTAGTTATGTATATAGTGTGGTTAATCATTAGCTACACTGCTTCCCACCTGATTGGAGCAACGGGAAGCTCACTGTGGCCTACCAGCGTCTGAAAGCGTGTGCGCGACCTGTGTGTGTGCGGAGGTGGTGTGGATGTGAGCGTGCCTGAAGGAAAAAAAGCTGCTACTCTTAGTAGGCCAAACGCTCAGGTTAAACAACTGACGAGTGTTACTGTAGGTTTTTGTTTTTGTTGTTTTTTTTGTGGTTTATTTTTTTCAAATTGCTACTTCTATTGTGAAAGACAAAAGCATTTCCATTTCAACTGTTTGTCAGCTTTGTCGTTGGGCAAAATTGGTATGTTATGAAAATGAATCTATAGTTTTGGGGCAAAATTATAAAATTAAATATGTAGGTAACCTATTTATATACTGCTATAAAGTATTTTTTGAGGAGAGATGTGCAAAGAAGTTATTACCTACATGAAATGTATATTTAAAGATTTTTTTCTTCATCCTGGGTGCCAGGAATATAAAAAAGAGTGGATATATTTAACAATAGCATACTGTGATTCATCAAACAGCACAAACTTTCAGTTCATGGAGTTTATCTGTTGACGTTGATTTAAACTATCACTTGTTTTATCATGTGGGAACATAAGTTATGTCAAAATGTAAGGATTTTGAACTAATGTTGATTCAAGTTGTGTTGTCTTACCGTATTGTCTTTTCAAAGTGCTGCCAGTTAAAAAGGGAAGCATTATGTTTACAAATCTGTTTTGAAATGTTTGCCAAATTTTGGTAGTATCTTTAATAAAGATGTTTGTCTCCAGCATCCAAAAAAAAAATAAATAACTTTGTTGTGTATTACTATAAGCCAGAAAAATATTATTATCTAGAAAACCTGAGAGAGCATGTAGATGAACTTTCTCTTTGGAGTTCTTCTAAAACATTAACTGGAAATAGTAGATAATGTAAATAAAAATGCACAAACTATACCAAGACTAAAACAAGACCCTCTACACTATACCTCTATAACATTATTTCAGAAACTTAATCTCTATGTAGCATGGACCTCCTAGGGAATTCGATTTCTTTTACCATCAAGATCCCTGGTGCTCTTCCTTTTTCCTAATAAGTGGTACAATCATTAGTAAATGTTCATTGATTTCAAACTTTCAGTTGCAAAAAAGATAGGAAAGGAAACTTAATTGGGGGTAAATTTGGTCCTCATATTATGGTGGAGTATGCAGAGGGATTTGTCTGTAGATAATGACCTCATTGATGTTTAATCAAAGATTGTGTGCTGCTATTGCTATCTATGAGTGGTGTTTCTCAAAAGCAAGGTGCTTGGACCACTTACATCACCCAAATTAGAATCTCTGGGTGTAGGGCCCAGGAGGTCATCCACATTTTCCTAAGTATCCTCTCATACTTTGCAAGCTAACGTATGAGGACCATTGGCTTGGATGTAGGGCTAAACCTTAAGTCTCTAAATCTCAGTCTTGAAATGAAGTTCAACTGTTGCCGTTGTGTTTTCTGTTGTTGTTTTTTTTTTTTAACCATCTCTATCAGCAGACACACATCACTTTTTTCCTCTACAAGATGAAAGGCACCTTCTCAATTGTTTCACTACCAACTCTTATTTTAGAACCTGTTTACAGACAAGTCTTCTAGTTGGTTAACTGTTAGCTTTTGGAGTTCCTACCCACCTACGTCAGCGCGTTTTTGGGTTTACAAATTGGGTAATAGAAGCTGGAGATGCTTCACAAAAATCCAGCACAGTATACCCATAGACTTGACCACCAACCTATAAAAGCCTTAAATTAGACATTTGTTGTGTACCAGGGGAAGATCCTTATAAAATGTGTATCTATCAGTTATAAATCTCTGACTTTGCTGCTACCTGAGGCTGCATTTCTTTTGAAGATGGGCATAAGCCTATTAAAATATTTATATCATTTTTCATATCCTGTTAGGTTTTTAGATACTTTCAAGTCATCGTTGCAGGAATGTGTGGTCACTTAGCTGTTTTTGTCAAAGAATCTATTTAGGTTTTTTTTTTAAGACGCAGTGTAAAAGAGCATTGTCAAGATGAGAGAGTGAGTTATGTCTTATCACATTTCATCTAAAATAATTTGAAGCATTCTTGAAGATTTTTATCAATACTCATAAATTGATTCTAAATTGAATGAGCAGCCAATTTAGTATAAACCAAAAAGAACATTAATTAGATGTGGTTTTGTTTTTTTATGTGGGGATTTCACTTTCTATCTAGTTGGGTTTTATTTCTCATGGAGTAATTTAGAGGGTTAACTTTCACCTCTGGTGGTAGATGTTAGGACTGGCTCTCTCAAAAGTAATTGGTGTGGTCAGTTTCTATCATTGCTCCATTCATTGATCTCTGATGGATTTTTTTTTTTAACTGTTAGAGGAGTTTTCTTTTCCCTTAAAGTATTTCATTTATTATGAAAATAAATGCATGCTTGCATGTTGGAAGCAAGATGTTGAAATGAGGTTTAGCCACAAATGTTCCATTAGTTCCAACACTGCTTGGTTGCCTTACCTCTTGCAAATTTTATTCTTTGCTTCTGGAACTTGCCTGAAACGCTTTAGCCAGTTCATCGTCTTTCTGGAAGGGTGAGTGTTGTCATGTGTGCTTGGTATATGCCTTTACTGCTTCTGAAGTTCTTACAGTTTAATACTCCCCGCAAGTGTTACTAAATCCTTCTATTACATGTACCAGATTGGGGGAAACTTATAACCAGCTCTTTGAGAGAAACATTTTGGGAAAGGATATTTAATGGGCACTATTAAATGGAGGCAACAGGAGATATCATCCACTTTCTATGGAACTTAAAAAACTGAACAAGGCTGTGAGGCTCATTTCAAAATATTCTGAAGTGTTAAAAACTACATATATACTATATACGCAGTTTCTCAGTTCCATCCAAACCATGTTAGGACTCCCGAAGGTAAAATGTCACAGGGACGTTTCAGTTGTTACTGAGCTCAGCAGCTTATGGTGTTCCCTGTTGTTCTACACCGATTTCAGTTCAATAAAAATGTTAACATTGCACTTCTGGTATTTGTTTTGCCTTTATCTCGTTTCAAGCCCCTGACCCTTAACTTTGTCTTAAAAAACAACAACAACAAATTCCCCACACCAAAGTGCTCTCTGATGCCCTAAGGTATAAATGATCTTCCTAGGACAGACATTATTTATTGGTGACTCTAGAAAGTGGGAGCAGGGTGTTCGTCTGCTCCGGGACCCTGTCTGTTTGTAAGTTAGGACATACCCTCCACAGGCAACACTAGGGGATCAGTAATCATAGTGAGCATTTTTGAGGGTTTTCCTGTGGGATACATACCCTTTTGTATCCATTGTCCCATTTCTCCTCACCACTGCCCTGTTACACCCATTTTGTTGGTGAATAAACTAAGGTTTAGAGAATTTAAGAAACTTGCCCATCACCCAGCTAATAAACAGTGGAGCCTAAGAAGCCTGATCCCACATCTGTGTTCCTAACCACTTCTCCATGCTACCCCTCACACATTGGTACCGATTTAGGGTTAATCTTCACAAAGTGGTCATTCTAGTAACATTGAACGGGCTAGAAATGTTTTGATTCAAAGGAGACAAGAATGTGAGTGTGATGTCTACTGGATTATTCTCAGTAGGCTGATTTTATCAGAATTGATAACTTTGAAGGAAGGCCAAAATACTTTTTAAGAAAAGATGTTTCTTTTCTTCATGACTGTGTGTAATCTTAATGAGGCTGTTTGGAAGAGAGTAGGCAGTGAAGATGGAGACAGGAGGCAGGGGTATGGCCTTGGAATCACACCATTTTCTCTTCATATGAAAAGGCTGTCTCCCTCACAACAGCTCTCCCCGTCTGAATTAGCCATAAGGACATTCTCCTGGCTGGATCCTGATCCTCCAGTCTCTATAGGTTTTCTGTAGGAATAATGGAAGATAAAAGGAAGAAAGTCTCAATTAAGCATTGGTGTTAAAAACCTGGAATGTTTAGTGCCAGCAGTGATTCTGGTCAGGTTTACAAGGAGCCTCACGGATTAATGAGATTCCTAACGTAATTGTGGCAGCAGCCCTCTCCCACCAGACATTTAGCATGTGCTTGTCTTTTGATTCCTTTCCTCAGCTGTAAAGTGGAAATACGCCTTCTTACTGGGTATGAGAGAAGCTTAATTACTATTTATAAAGCACTTGGGTGTTCCATGAAAACAGCTATCTAAATTACATATTGTCTGCTGAATGCATAGGGAGACTTGGGAGCATTATTTTCCAGGTGCCAATGGGTCCATTTTGACGGATG